AGAGCAGCAGCTCCGTGCCCTGGTGCAGAGATGCATTATGCAGGTTAATCCACTCGAGGGATTTTTCTAGGAGGATCTATTTTCCTGTGTGACAGTCTAAAAATGTCAAAGCCCTTCCAAAAATGCTGCTGATCCAGAATAGCAGCAGCTAGCCTGGAGAGGCCGAAGTAAACACTTGTTCAGAGGATTTAATACCAGTGCCGGAGCTGTGGATACCCACAGCCATTTGCAGGCAGCTTCCAGGTAGCACGGGGAGAGATCTCTGCAGTGGCCCCAGATTGCTGCAACTGATTTTTACTGGTTATTAACATCGGGGTCTTGCACACGTCAGCCTGAGGAGTGTTGTGGAAAGGGCTGAGGGGCACAGCCTCCGCCGGGGTTAGGGAGAGCGTCGGGGGCGCGCTGTGTGGTGAAGAGCTGAGCTGATCTACAGAGAGCCTCCAGACACGCTGTGAAACGTCCCCTCTTTTTGAGGGGGGGAAAATGTGCTGCGCCGCTGAACTTCGTGTGTGAGGGTCTCTTCTTCTTGTGCTGCTGGCGACCTGTGTTCGTGTTGGGTTTTTGTTGGTGAAGGGGAAACAAGGCACCCCAGCAGCACTGCGCTGTCTCTGTGCTTTGTTCCAGCTGCCCAGAAACGTGGCACGGGGCTGCGTGAGCCACGGGGCTGCCAAGATGCACTGCCCTTCAGTTTCGTGGGGCTCGTTCAGGAGCATACATAAGATTAATGGCTAATTATAAGCAGACGTGAGACTTGGCAGGGAAGAATCCAGCGAACAAAGAGCTTGTATGAGCCCAATTTAATTCTGGAAAGAGAAGCGTGCCACTCTGCCTGCTGGCTTTGTCGTGGGAGGGCGGTGGGGGCCCAGGGCTCAAAACTCCTTCGCTGAGCATGCCCAGACCTTGTTTTCCATCCCGTTTGTGCCTCGGATCAGGGCTTGGGTCTTCCTGGGAAGGGAGAGTTGCACCGGGAATCCTTTCTAGTTCAGGGCAGCTTCAGTCTGCAGCACTCGGAGGAGGGAGGAGTGAAGGAGCGTCTCCTGCTAGTTCACCTCTCCCCTTCCCAGGACACTGAGGACTTGGACCACTATGAAATGAAAGAGGAAGAGCCGGCAGATGGGAAGAAGACAGAGGATGAAGGCATTGGGAAGGAAAACCTGGCCATTTTAGAGAAAATAAAAAAGAACCAGAGGCAAGATTACTTAAATGTACGTGTCGCCCGGCGGGCAGGCGGGTTGGGGAAGCAGAGGGACCCAAGGGCGAGAGCGATGGAGGCACCTGCTGGCCCTAAAGCAAAGGGGCCGTCTCTGGCCAAAGGTACAGCAGCGGCTCTCGGGAGCTGGCCTGGCTGATGCAGAGAAGTCTGTGAACTGCCTCTGCAGCTCGGGGAAGTAAGTGGGGGCCTCAGGTGTCCCCGAGGCATCGGTGCTACCTGGGGCAGCCTTCCTGCAGTGAGATGTGGGGTTCCCCTCTGCTCCCAGGAGCTGCACATCGCTTTGGGCTGTGGAGGTGGCTGGTGGGTTGTGCTTTTACACTCCTGGGCTGAGATTCTTACGCAGTTGAGAGGACGCAGAGGCCAGGAGCTGCACTGCCTGGGCTGGTATATTGAGGGCAAGAGAAGTTGCTGTAGGGGGGGAAAGGGGAAGACTGAGAGGTGAGGGACACGGTAAGGTCTGGTTTAGAGGCCAGACAAGTTCTAGCTTGGTTGTTGGCTTTGTAGAGCAAAGGCAGTGGTGGGCGCAAGCGTAACAATGCAAATTCCCTCCTCCCAAATTCCTCGTAGGGTGCAGTGTCTGGGTCTGTGCAGGCCACCGACCGGCTAATGAAGGAGCTCAGGGATATTTACCGATCACCAAGTTTCAAGGGCGGTAAGTACTGCGGGGAGCTCGAGGGAAGGGGGCGGCTGCCCCAATCTTCGTGCCGGCGTTTTCCTCGTCGTTTTGGGTGGCACCTAATGGACCGTAGAGCTGTTCTGCCCTGCTCAGCTGAGGAGAGGGTCTCCTCCGCTCTGCCTTCGGTTGTTGCGGCTCCGTCAAGAGCAAGCAAAACTGCCTTACCGTCTCCGATCCCTGCCAGCGCTGGATGGAAGCGAGGAGCCTGCTGTGGGTGGGAGGATTATCCAGCTTTGAGGGTGGTGGTGCTTCTACCCCTTTCCTGAGCTCAAGGACTTGGGGAAAGAGCGATTGTAGGAAAACTGATGCCCTCAGGACAGTCCTTCCAGATAAGCACTGCTTTTAGGGGGGGTTCTGTGCCAGGCTGGGGCGGTGCTGCAGGGCCAAGGGGGTTTGAAGTCTGGGTGGTGGCTCAACCCCCAGTTCTGTTTCCGCCATAGTGACGTGCCTCTTCTCTGCCTTGCAGGATACTATGCAGTTGAACTAGTGAACGACAGCCTGTACGATTGGAACGTCAAACTCCTGAAGTAGGTGGCATAGCTTGGGATCGTGCAACTGTGGTGGAATCTTGGTGGTGGGACCAAAACGTCCCCGTGAGCCAGAGGGGAAGTGAGCAGGGCAGGGGAGCACCCGGCAGACCTTGGGTTAGCCTCTCTCGGGCAGCGTGCTTGCTGTCTCCGCATCAGAAAGGAGATGACATCTCCAGAAAAAAATGAGATAATCTGAGGGCTCTGCAAGTCTGTCTGCTGTTCCTAGAGTCCTGGAAGAGGTGCATCAGACAAAACCCCGAGCTTTCACACCCTCCAGATGCCAGTGCTGCCTTTCCTTTGGGCCAGGCAGTCTTTATTTTTAAGCTGGCAGCATGCAAAAAGGGTGTGATGGTCTTCTCTGCAAACCGGGAGCAGAATGCTGACAGCCCGTGCTGTCGCTGCCCTCTGGGTGAGAACCTGAGGGCCCACGTGGCGGCCCGGTTGTGCAGGTACAGTAGCTCTGGGGTTCGGTGGCAGTGAGCGCGACTGACTTGAGGTGCCACAACCTTGACTCTG